CCCCAGGCCGCCCCAAAGCGCTAAATCTCTCCCTCCCCGCGCCTTCCCCCACGCAGCCACATCCCCCCCGCACCCCCCGCGAGTGGCACAGTCTCCCCCAGTGCCGTTACCCGCAGTCCGGCCCGGTCTGTTTCTCACACGGGGTCAAGGGCTCCGCTCGGCTCCTGTACGCTCAATGCCCCGCGCCCGCCGCGCCGCCCTTTTATAGCCTCCCAGAACCTTCCAGAAGGACACGCCCCGCAAGCCGTGCTCCAGCCAATCAGCGTGCGGGTCCCGCCCCCTTGCCCGCCTCCGATTGGTGGTCGCCCGGCGTGACGTGAACCGGAAGGGGGCGTGGCGCGCCGGCCGGCCCCGCGTTCTCGAACCTTCATGCACTTTCCCAGCGCACCCCCGCCCGCCCTGAGCGGGGCGGGGCTTTCCGCAACCCACAGCCAATCAGAGCCCGAGTCTCCGGTGACGACACCCAGGGGCGGGGACAAGGGGAGGGCGGCAGCCAATCGGAGCGCAGCGCGCCAGGGGGTTCGTTTGCATATTTGGCAGCGGGGCCAATGGGAGCGCCGGGATGGAGGGTGATTTACATAGAGGGAGAGCGGGGGGGAAGGGAAAATGGCGGCGCCATGCGGGGCAGAGCCCACAGAGGTCCTGCGGGGTTAATGAGCGTTAATAATTAAGAGATCCTGTGCCCTCAGAAATCCCCCTCAAGGAATGGCGGCGTCCCCCGTTGCTGCGCTCGCAGCCCCTCCCCACAGCGTGTGCTCGGTGAATGTCCCCGGTGCAATAAACGCTGTCCTCCATTTTCCCCTCAGCAAGCCTCCCGCGTTTGTCCCCGCGCCCTCTTTTCTCTCCCAGGAAACCGCGTTTGTGGTGTGTTATTTAGGGTGACACGGGGTTTTCCCTGCAGAGCAAAATCCACCTCGGCGTCTCCCTGCTCCAAGTGTCCCTATCCATCAGCAGCTCCAAACCAAGCCAAGGCACAGGGTGTTCCCCTCTCGGCATTGCAGCTCCCTGCAGGGATCATTTCTGTGGAAATAATGGAAATAAGGTGGAAAGCGAGCTGTCCCACATCCCACACAAACACTGGGATGGAGCAGAGGTCAGGAATCACCTGAGGTCAGGCTGTGGACTCAGTCCAGTGTTTACACGGCATGAAGGGCGAGTGGAAAAGTCACGGAGTCACCGGGAGGAGGGAACACAAAGCACATGTCCTGGCAAAGCTTCTTGGCAGGGGAAGAGTGACTTCCACAGTCACAGAACTGCTTGGAAAAGGCATTCGTGGTGCTCAATTTGGCTTTTGGGCAGAAACACTGCTGGTAAATGCTTAAAAGTCCAGCACAGGGCCCCCCACACACTATAACAAATCCCTCATGGCATATCCCAACAAATGTTTGTCCTCTGGGATAGCTGAGGCCGAGGGATTTTTTCAGCATCCCTTTTTGGTGGCGGATTGCAATGAAATTAGGGAGAGGGTAGGGAAAGGGGCTCCACGTCACGGTGCCTTTAAAGATAAGAGTGAGCCATCACCCCATATCTGAGCAGGTCCACCCCACCCTGTCCAGAGTACACCCTGCTCCCAGGTTACACCAGAGATGCTCCTGGGTGTAAGTCACACTGAGCACACCACGCAGCGAGTCCCGTGGGAGCAGTGCTGACAGCCTTTGTTTGTAAATCCTGAGCAGAATTCCAGGAGAATATCCCT